TGGCACTAGATACAGATGAATGCTCAGGAAAAGAACAGCACTTCAGTATTTATTCATCACAGCATAAATGATGCTGGAACAATAAATTCTAAGTGAAAGTATATAACAATTAATTTAACATTACTGAAAAATCTAGGCATTCAAGATTTCACATTCAGAAGACGAACTACTGAAACTGGATTCCGAAGCTGCCCGTGAAATAATCTACACCGAGCTCACTATGAATGAGTTTGCAGAAGCACTGAGCATGCCAGCTGAATCACAATTTGTTCGCAAGGTAAGTTCTTAATATAAGACTACACACACGAAAATATGTAACAATAAAATCTGTGCAAAATCAAGGGAACATTCATAATTCAGTGGGATCTTATTTAGTACTTTCTATTAATCCCTGTCAGATTTTCGGTATTATAAAACTCCTTGAAGGTTATAAAATGTCTGTTCCTACCTCTCTTCACACTTAACATTTTTTATACATGTTGACATAAAGCATGAAATAGAATCATTAGGTAAATTCAAGTACAAATAGAGCTGGTGTAATCTCAACAGAGGCTCTGAAGCAAGTTACTGAATAGGACAATTCCCAGAAGAGAGCATTGCATTGAAAGTCACATCATTAAAAACTTCACTGCCAGGCTACAATTATTCTAAAAAATAAGATGATCCACCACTGTATACTGTATGTCCATTATATGTAAACATAGTGTATAAGTGTGGTGTTAATGTACATAATTCAGTAAGCAGTTCCATACATGAAGAAGAAAATGCAATACTTGCTCCAATGAGATTTTGTTGTAATTGAAAAAATATATGAGTGTTACAGATGTACCCAGTCCCCATTAAGGTTCAGAACCTGAGCTTAATGATGTGTCTCAATATATTTTTAAACTTCACTATGAACTGTAACAAAGAAAATTCCAATTGACTGTTAAAATAATAAATTATTAATATGTTGCCATAAAAACAAATAATGCATCTAATATTGATGAAATTTTGTGCCACAGACTTACAGTGCTTTCTAGCATATACTTTTTTCTAGAATAAACAACTGAAGTACACTCCTATCCATGCATACAATCAATCACAAGCAAATGCTTTCAAAAACAAATTTTCACAAAAGACTGCAGGCCAAATTCAGTGACTGGTGGCCTATAATTTTGCGTAAAATTGTCCTTATGCTTACATACCATGCCATGAAGACATTTTGGAGAGTGGTAGTAAAACTCCACCCAATTTTTACCCTTGGCATTAGATCAAGGTGAATGATAATCATTATGTGCAACACTTAACTTTGCCATAGTTTATAATTGACTTTTAAATATTAACAGACTACTGTACTGTACTGTACCTTTAACTACATATGTTTAAATTTCAGATGTTTTCACTAGTTGACAAGGACAAAAGTGGATTTATATCATTCAGGGAATTTGTAGACATGCTCATCATATTTGCAAAAGGTAAAAGTGTAAATACATACAGTCATTTATATTCTGTCATAAGTAATTAGTCTGCACAGATATACACTTAGAGTGATCCATATATCACAGTCAATATAGAGAAGATTGTGATGAAGAAAAACATTCAGATAACATTGATGCAAAATTGCAACATTTTCCAATGTGATAATGGCTGGCCACATTAATGACAATCTCAACCAGAAATGGACCAAAATATGTGAGTAACAATGTATTCCAGATAATGGTCATTATAGTTAACTGGTTAGTAAATTTAAAGTCAACTGCTTCAATAGTTATTAGTAATATTCAACACATAAGAACAAACCAAAACTTTTAACAAGAAGAATGAACAACTCCATCACTGGGATGGCATTACAAAGGCAAACCTACTTATAACATTCTGCTAGCCATCTATCTTGACTAATCATTACTGCAAAGCAGAAGCTTACACATGGCAATACTCACATAACAGAAGTGCCATATATCAAGTTCCATCAAAATTTGCCTAAGACTTAAAATTATACATGCAAACAACTCATTGAGGACTTCAGGTAAAATAGCCCTCAACAGAGAATAAAGTGAATTAAACATATGCACAGTAACACACATTTAGCATAAATGCCTGATGATAAATTTAACAGAAATATTTTGGAGAATTCAAAACAGACATGTAAGAGTTAATCAACCCCTTGAAATGAATTACAGTGAACAAAAATTAAGCACAGTAATACTTGAATAAGTGCTGCATAGAAAGTTTCATTAAAATCTGTCAAAGGGCACAAAATATAGATGCAGAAGTTAATTTAGGCAATTTATTAAATCTTAACATTTTAATTCTGAATGTCAAAGTAAGCTTTATGTATTCCATATTTACAGGCACTGCTGATGCCAAAGCTAAGCTAATGTTTGATATGTATGATATCAACGCTACAGGCCAACTGACTCTACAAGACTTCAAAAATATGATAACGTAAGTGTCTTCTTCTTCTTCTTATTATTATTATTATTATGTCATTTGAAAACCTGTGGGTCTCAAACTGTTTCTGTCTGCCCATTTATTCCATTTCATCTACTGTTCCCCAGTCTCATCCTCTCCTCTCTACATCTCTCTAAACACAGTCTTCCCATCACGTGTGTGGCTTGCCACTAGATTCTCTTCCACTCATCTTAATTTTCAATAAAATTTTTGGTATTCTATATTCTTCTAACATGACCAAACCATCTAAATGTAATATGAGATAATGTAGGTGTACTCATACTTAATCCTGTTAAAACTGATTTTATCTTCCGTCCGTTAATTTTATATTTGAGCCCTCCACTAGCATTTACAAGACACTCAGTTAAAATGTCAGCAATAGCACAATGCGTGCTAAGAAGACCTATAACAGAAGCACACAAATTCTTTCTTTCCCCTTTACCTTCCATTTAGTTGTAAAAAACTACCCCAATGGACCACTTAGATGGAAATATGGGGAGTATGTAAACGTCAAGTAACTAATCAACAATGTTTGGTTTCATTATGAATTTTGCTATGAGAAATTTGATCAAATTCTAGAAACATGTAGTTTTGATAATCACACAGGAAGGATCTAAGCAGTAATATTATCTTGGTAACATTTATCTGAATTTCATTTTGTAACCTGCCACACAAGTTGGAGGAAACCATTATGCAAGTACAAAGATGGAAAAGAAAGTGACAAAATATGGCCAGCCTGGAATTTAGATATTTTTTGAACACCCAAACTGTGATGTTAGTATGTTCTAACACTATGTACAAACACTCCTCATCATTCACAAAATGATTTACGACACCACAGTTCGAGACATTCTATGGCTCACTCTGTATAGTCAAATAACTACATTGCTACTCAAGTAATAATATAAACAAACATAGCCTATAATTTCTGGAAACAAAGAACTGTTTTTACCAATTCTCAACTTTTTTTTATAAATTAACTGAATAACAGTGAAACGTATTTCAAATATGGTTTCTGCATCTCTATGTTAATATATTTCACCGACAAATCTAATATTGTCTGAGCTAATCAGTACTACAGCTATTACTCTATAAAGAGGGATTAATAACTTTTTTATTGTGTTGTATTAAAGAACAGCATACTGAAATGTAGTTAAAATACATATTATTCATGCTAACAAGACGATTTATTTGTACAGTAAGTCAGTTTCATGCACACGGAGGTTATAGTGGTCTAATATGAACCAAAACTTTTCCTGGCAACTTCAAAATACATTGAGAAGTTCTGGAGATTAAATATGTGAATTCATGGCACACACATAATATCCTCATTATGCATTCATTTTATATGTTTCATGAAGAGATAGAGGGATTGGGGGTGGGACAGGAGAGAAAAAACAAATTACAGAAGAACAAAATTCACAGTAGTAATGCAATATATGAGAAACTTTGTTCTTTGAAAAGCTCCCTGATGGAGACTGTGAGTGCTGATGTTGAACAACGTGACCTAGAAACAGCAATCAACACAACCTTGGTAGCAGCAGGACTTGCAAATAAGGTATGAAAGGTATCTATTGCATCTCTTGAATACTAATACACATATACCCACATGCACTTCATACCAGGTGTAAAAGTCTAGCTAATCATCAACATCATGAAGTGGGGTGCACAATGGTAACACATCTGATATTCAGAAGGTACCAGGTTGAAATTTCAGCCACTCAAAGAGTAAAAAATGCTAGGCAACAAAATTATCAAACAAACAAGAGAATTTAAATACTTAGGTTAACTCATATCAAACTACAGAAAGGATATGGAATAAAATCACCATCATACAACAACAAAAGTGGCATTAAAAGAAATTTTTGCAAACAAATGTTATCAGACATTAAAATACAAATACACCAAATCACAGAAAAAGTAGCCTTGTAATACGGTAGTTAGGGATGGGTAGCAAAGAAGATAAGCACCAAAAGATTGGGAAAGAAGCATAAATGAGGTCACTATGGCCTACTGGGTAACAGAACACTACACCAGCAACAAAATACAGACAGAAGAAAAAATTACATGTTTCAAATATGAATGGTTACATTGAAGACCACCATCAGTGGGTTTATGAACAGACAGCTAAGCCTAATCTGTCATGGTTCATGGTAAAGTTTTAATATTAATTTGTTTGATGTGCTGACTTGTGAATGACCACTCCAGCTGAGTCAACTTTACGGACATCAACCAACCATCATGTAGTTCAACAAACTGCTTTCAGGCCCTCTTTTAAAACTAAATAAAATGTACTCAATGCTGAAACCCATCCAGTCTATATTGTATTGAAGGCAACATGATCTTTCTGTGAAAGGAATGCATTGATTCTGGTTAGTGCAAAAATAATTATTTTAAACTAATTCTGAGGAAATAAAGAAATAGCAGTTCCTTGTTATTGAATTTATCAGAAAATTAATGTTAAATAATATGATACAAATCACAGGTATTTAGGAGCAGACTCAGTATCTTAATGCCATAATATATATATATATATAAAAATAATCCCATTTTGCTTATGTAAGCAAAACTTGATTCTATTTGGATTGTTGAGTTTTTGGACCTTGTCCATCCTTTGATGTCATAAAATATACATTTCAAGGACTGAATCCCTCCTCATGTTCAGGCACAGTGAAGGGGAAGGCACATACTTTGTGGGGTCCATTAGAATGAGCTAATCTCAATCACTGGACAACCTAGGTCAGAAAAACTATATATGTGTATAAGCACCTGAGATCAGGTTATGTCAGCAGAAGATAATGATAAGATTAACAATAAAAATCATGAAAATGAGTGTCTTAAATAAGACAAATGTGGAAGTGCAAATTAAAAATACACGAGACAAGGACAGATCCAGTCCTTGAAATGTTGTGTATTTATAACATCAGATGAAAGATAAGGTCCAAAAGCCCAACAATCCAGACTATTACACCATCATCAATTTGATCCTATCTGTCAAACACACAAGCTAAATTAAACTTCAAACAATAATTAGCAATAAATTTTTATTAAAACATTGTTGCTAAAGAGAACAGGTATGTACTAAATGTTCACATTATTGGCAGTTTTTAAACAAATTTATCATATTTTTTATATGAAGTTTAGCTCTTTGTTGTGTCTGATGGCTAGGATAAAGTCTTGCTTGGCATAAATGACAACAGGATGCTTACAAACCATTCCTTATACAAAACTAAAAGACAACCTGATATTGGGAAAATGCAATTATGTATAGAACTTGGCTAATTGTACCATAAGAATCTACAAAAAGAAAAGCCTGCATTTCATTTTTTGAAAACAGCCTTACACACAACTCTTGGCTTTCTCCACTACTCAAATCTTCTTGTTCTAGGATGTGATAACTGTAGAGGATTTTCAACAACTTCTTTCAAACAACAAAGGAAGGTTAGGCATTGACCAATTAAACCTCACTGGTATTCCAACACTACAACAGCAAGAGCAGTGTTCTGCGTCCTACAGAAGAACCTTTATCGATCAAGCACGTTTCACTGCATTCAGTATATACAGGTAATCTACACAAAAGTGATATGCAAGTTCATAAATAAACTCCTGTAAAAAGAAAGAAGACAACCCATGAGGTTTGCACAGTGGAGAGTATAAAGACGGCTGTCTTCTGTGTTGTGGCAGTGTGTAGTCTCATAGAGGTTTACCGCTTCTACCAGAAAACTTCTAAACTAAATTTCTACTATACTACATGGTTCCACAACCCAGAAGACAGCAATCTTAAGAAAAGCCATCTTCATACTTTCTGCTATGAGAACCTGAAATCTCATTCTTGAAAAAAGAAAGATTATCAACCTCCAAAATAAAATTCTAAACAGGTATTTAATGACATTGAATAACTACAAACATAATGTCTATTTAAAATGAGGTTTTCAATTTTTGGCTCAGTTGTGGATTATTTAATAACACTATATTGGTTGCAAAGGCTATTTAGCAATAAATTAAATGAAATAATATTTATGTATGCTGAACTAGGCATGGCATATCTATTTCAAGGTATTATTGTGCAATTTATCTGGGAGGATTGAGAAAAATTATGAAAATATCAGATAGTTGCATTTACACCACTACTACCACTACGTATGATGTGTTATTGCTGCCACCAAAAACAACAACGTTATACTCATATTATAAAACCACATGTATAACTAACTAGATGGCTTACCAAAGCTGAAGGTTCATCACCAAATTAACCAAAGCCTGTCCTGGGCGAACAGAAACCAGTATCCTTCAACTCCTATCTCCCATAGATCCTGCTTGATACTATCATTCCATTTACGTCTAGGTCTCCCCAATGTTCTCTTCCCCTCCAGCTTCCTGACCAATACCCAGTGCACACCTCTTGCCCCATCCATGCATGTCACATGCCCCACCCATCTAATTCTTCTTGACTTAATCACCCAGACAATATTGGGGGGACGAGTACAAATTTTTAGCTCATGTATAAACCAAGTTAACCTCATTTTCATCTGAGAGTATATTCTATTCGGTAAATGTGTTCTGTTTCAGGAATATAAAGGAATTAACATCTGAAACAGAAACCGAATGTAACACAGACGAAGTTCACAGGGAAGTGGAAAATGATCCCAGAATAGATAATGATCAAGAGGAGGCTCTTAAAAAAAGAAAAGAGGAACCCATCCACAGCACTTTTTGGATATCTGTAAGACGGATTACTGAGAATTATTCGAGAGAGATTTTTTGGCTGGCACTTTACACTCTTATACTTCTGGCGATATTTGCAGAAAGAGCATACTGTAAGTAAATATCAATAACTAACTAACTCCCTGGTAGCAGAACCCGCAGGTTTCGGTAAGCAAATACATCTGACAAATTGTTTTGTATGTCCTCATACATAAATGTTGGTTCCAACTGTAAATCTGAATGATTATGATGTCACTTTAATTTTAATAACACATAAAAGTGTTAATTATTATATCATTAATAAACATGTGTAGAAATGCTAGTAATAATTATTGAACACCAGAACTGAGAAGTTTACGCTCCATCTTTATACTTGAAAAATACTGGGTTCATCTTAGCCTGGACACCAGCTATTCTGACTGAAGATTTTCATTATTTTCCTTAGTCCCTCTACACAAATTCTGGGATTGTACACCTTAAATTAGTCCATGACCACTTCCTTCCATATCCTTTTTAATTAATTATCCATTGATCATACCGGTCTTGACAAAATTCACTGCTGCATTATCAATTCAGAATAGACTAAAAACAACTGTTCCAGATTTGATCCTGGACACTGCCACAAAAAACGAAAATAATGAAAACAAGAAAGAATTGCTAGTATAAGGGCATTATTTCATCTGAAGCCCGGAGCAATCTATCTACAGACACATGAAATATATAAAATACAATTCAGATAATGAATAATATTCAAAATAAATGTGTTGTAAGAAGTCGTTACAGTAATCTGAAATTAACATAGGCCTATCATGAGACTAACTCTGCTTGCATGAAAGTTAGTTACAGAATTGAAAACCTCATGAGATTTCCTGTAAATGGCAGGAATATTATTAACTAGCTTCATGTTGTTATTTCTAAGACTTTCTGTAACTTTCATAATTTAAAACTGATTTGTATTTATGGGTCCTAATTAAAGGTAGCGCAAAACTGAAATGTGAGAGTTTAATACTACAAACACAGTTAATGACGCCTTAGTAATTTCACAATGCTGTATTAAATGTTGAAGTTATGAAATTTAAAATAAATGTTTGGGTAATATCAATGGTAAAGCAGGAGGTACCAGTAAGGAGTGAAATTGGCTATGGCCTATTTTAAACTACAATCCTGGTATTTACCTGGAGAAGCTGGGGAAAGTCACGCACAGTCTTACATGAATAACTATCTTAGACAGAATGTAAATCAGGTTCCTTCAAACAAAAGTTAGGTGCATGGCCAAGGGCAATTCTGACCATCACTTTTCTCCAGCCCCTTCAGGAGATACTGAGATAAATTAGAGTAGAGACCACATTCCAATTCATTTGTTACAATCAGATTACTATATCTCATCCAACACTGTATGACTTATTTGATAAAGAATTGAAAAATAAATGAATATACAAGAAGTTGGATGCAACACACTCAAGTCAAACACAGCAAATAATCACAGAAAACTAAATAAAAGCTCTTAGAATGAAAGATATCTCATGCATAATAGTTTATGCAAATGTATATTTACACCTTTAGGATTAGTAGTTGTGTAACTGTACAGTTATGACTACGGAAGTTCAATCAGTGACAACTGTAGTTTTGGTTTATCTTAAATTATATTTCTCTGTACAGCAAGTGGCTTATATATACTGCTTATTGGTAAACATTAAGATTATGTGCTCATCTATTCAAAGTGTTCTTTAACTTCAAATTTCATTTTATAATCAAATATATTTTTTATCATGAACTAAGTACTTCTGATGTTTTGATATATTAACAGATTATTCTGTGGAGCGTGAACACTCAGGCCTCCGACAGATCGCTGGTTATGGTGTAACAGTTACTCGAGGAGCAGCTTCTGCCATGATGTTTACTTACTCATCCCTACTAATCACTATGTGTCGCAACACCATCACCATGCTTCGAGATACATTTTTACACATCTATATCCCATTTGATTCAGCAGTATCATTCCACAAATATGTTGCAATATGGGCTCTTATATTCACTGGTAAGTTAAACTGTCTAAAAACATGCAAGTATATGAAGAAAGTTATAACAATCCCACGGATGACATGCAATATTAAAAAATTATTTATAATGCCTATTTTCCTTTAAAAATATCCATCCATATTGACAGATTATCAGAAACTATAAATTAATAATAACAAAACTTAATGATCTCTTTCTGTGCATAATTCCTCTTTACTTGAAAGTTATTAGACATAAATTCAAAACTGCTTTACTGTCATTTGTAACATTAAAAATAAGTTTAACAAAAACTGTCTGGAACCTTTATGACATATCTTCATACTAATGTTAGCATTCCTACATGCACCATTCATATATGCAACCACTGTAGTAAAGTGAGAAAGTGAACTATAAAAATACCATAAGTCTGAGTTTATGTGTGTGTATGTATGCATGCATGCATGCATATATGCATACACGAGCACACATAAACACATACACACATATAAAGTACAAAGAAAGAAAGAAAGAAATCTGTACAGATATATGAAGGTACCACAAAATCTCTAACTACCTAACATGATTCATAATTCATGCAATCTTTAAAAAATTAAAAAAGCTGTCCCACTACATACCATGCAAGTGCTTGAGGGGAGAGGTGGTAAAGCTCATACTCATTCTTAACCTTGGCACTAGGTGGGAGTGAGTGGTTAGCATCACACCCCAACTGCACTTTATCCCAAGGAAAGGACCCTGGAACCCATTGGATAGGAGGCTGGGTGGGCCACAGAGCTGGTCTGGATGCAGAGGCTAAAGGAAAAATCCCATCGGGGACCAAACCCTGGTCGACCAGTCCATAGCCAGTCAGTATACTGACTGAGCTACCCCAGCTCGCATGCAGTCTTTATATTAATTTAAATTAAATTCAGAGATGAACCATAGTTATTGTTTAACACAGGACAAACACAAACTAGAAGCTGTTTCATTATCTAAGCAGAAGAGTTTGAAACAGTCTCGAGTTTTCTTTGAGCTTATATTACAACTTATATGAAGTCACTATTTCCAGATGTAAATGGGAATTGTAAGAATCATGGAAGAGAAGTTTATCTTTCATTTTATATACAAACTATATTTTGTTACAGTGATACACTGTATTGGCCATGGATTCAATTTCTACAGCATTTCTACTCAAACTTCTGATGATCTAACATGTCTGTTCCGGAACTTCTTTCATGCGTAAGTAAAATATAAATTAGTTAACATCTGTAACATAGATAAAAAAACTGCATGGCAAATAACTATAGCAGCAGCAGCAGAAGCAGTAGTAGCAATGTAATATTTTCTGACTATCTACAACAGCATATTATACTAACTTTTTTATGAAACAAAAATAAAACTTATTAAAAATAGGAAACAACAGTTTATGGTGAAGGCAAATTTGTCTCCAGTATTTAACTAAGCACTGGAGACAACTGGAGGTATATATAGCTTCATAACTTCAGCACTAAAAGGAGGTGAACGGTCAGCTTCACACCTGCACCACTTCAGCCCTGAGGAAGGTACCCTGGTACCCACTGGATATAAAGTCGAGTGGGCTCCACAGCTGGTCTGGATACTGTGATGAAGAGAAACTACTGGGAATCGAACCCTGGTCATCCAGACAACAGTGTAGTCACTGACTGAGCTATTCTGGTTCCATAACAGAAGTTTAAAGAAACCAAACATTCTTATCTTTAAGTTTATTTCTTTAGTAACTTAAAAAGTAGCACCCTTCCATATGTCACATTTGAGCAAAGGCAACTTTCTTTCTTAGAAAAATATTATTTACAAGAACACTGTTTAGCTTCTTTAAGACACCTTATCAATTGCGTATGTCATATAGTGTCAAATTGGAGAATGATGAATGGTATATAAGAGAGAGGGATGTGGAAATAAGCAGTTGTGGCCTATACTTACCTGGAGGGACTGATACAACAGCCAGAAGGGAGGGTGCTGGTGGAGGAAGAAAGTAAAAGCAGGCCAAGACAGCTAACCTCTGGTACCAAAATCAAACCTGATATTCCAAACACCAAAAACATATTATGATGGGCAAGAGAGTCAGTATAGCTTACTGAGACCAGCATCAAGGAATAAATGGTTATACATGTAAAGGAACTATGGACTGCAAGATTCAGTGTTATGCAGACATATGTATATGTGTGTGTGTGTGCTGATACATACATACATACATACACACACACACAGCTTAATAAATTTGAATAAACATTTTCTTGGATATTTTCCATCGTCTAAGAAATAATACAATATAAAACCACGTTTTGGAGATGGGGCTCAATCTCCGTCTTCAGGTACCTACTCTGTTGGGCCCAATAGATAGAGCTAATCCCTATCTCCAATTTATTAAGGGTAATAAATATTCTTAATATTCACATTGTTGTTGTTCATAGTGGTGGTGGTGGTGTTTGTCTAGTGCAATACATTAATTAAAACAAAAATTCTCAACAACATTTACTAGCTCTCTTATTTATTTGATATGGTTAGATTAAATCAAGGAGGTTTAAATGAGGACATGTAACACACATGGCAGGGGGGAGAGAAAGAGAGATAGAACAGGACCTTTCTGATGACTAAAACAAAGATGACATACACTTTAAAATGAATCTTGAGGAAACACTGAGAGATCTAGTTTTCCAGTACTGTAACAAAAAGTTTCTTGAACAGCTAAAGAGCTACTGATTGTTCTCTTAACCAGGAATTAGGTTAGTCAAAAGTATTTCTTACCCCAAAGACACTGCACAGTTTTGTAACTACTTTCTGAAAACTATGAACTTCAACTGAATTAGAATTGATCAAGTGGCAAAAATGTGCCCTGACAATTCTGTCTACTATTTTTACCCAATTCTTTCAAGTTGAAAATATTATAATTACTTTAAAATTCCAAACTAGTGAAGTATATTTAATTAACATGAACTCAACATTTCCATTTTCAGAACACATGAAATACCAAAGTTCCACTACTGGTGCTGGCAAACAATTACTGGAGTGACTGGTATACTTCTCACCCTCCTAACAGCACTTATATTCATTTTCACCTTGCCATTCGCACGTCGGAAGCTGTACAATGCATTCTGGTTCACTCATTCTCTCTACCCAGTTTTCTACCTCCTCATGATCTTACATGGATCAGGACGCCTTATACAGGTAATGAAATTTCTTCCAGTTTATATTACTGTACTTCATGCATGTGTATATTTCAGATACTAGATTCTACTTCAAAACCTTAATAATGCATCTTATTAGCACAAGAACACTGCTAAAGTGTATACAATTAGAAGCTTTGTATTAAGGTAGTTAGTAACAAAAACCATCATGGAATCCTTATGCAAGCACCTCTGAAACATCAGTAAACTTCTACTGGACTACATGACACAACATCCCAGATGACAGTAATCTTCATATTCGCCAATGTCAGAAACCAAGGTCTCACATTATTTTTATATTTTCCATAAAATCAGTGAGCTTTAATGCTAGTGTAAGCCTTTAATCAATTTGTTTCAGCCACCACTTTTTCATTATTTCTTCCTGGGACCATGTATACTATTTACTATTGACCGGATGGTTTCAGTCAGGCGAAAGAAAGTTGAGATTCCTGTTGTGGGGGCTGCACTTCTGCCATCCAGTAAGTAAAAATTAAGAAGTTTCACTCTGTAATATCATTAAGTTTATAACAATTCATATACATTTTTCATTTTGTAATACTGATGATAGTTTTTAATTTCATAGAACAGCAAAACTTCCACTGGATAAATGGCTTTTAATGGTTGTTTTTCAGCTGAATTATTGGGCTTGACTTACTTTACAGTGCAGGGCCAGGCCTGACACTGAGTTATCATAGTTTCTTCTCATACTACGATGTAATTTTTCAGCAACAAAAACTCCTCTTCCAATTGTAACAATGATAGAGATCATTAAGTAAGCAATGGAACAAACTTAGTCAGGAACTCTGTTTACTGCATGTAACGTACGTGTTTGTATATGCACTTGTTCTGATAATCCAATTTTCATTCCAGAGAATGAAATGTTCATGTGTTGACCCATTTCTGGAAATATATTTTGACTTCATCATTGCTTTCAAATTTCCTTCCACAGTGTAAAAATCAGAAGCCAACTCTTAAGACATATTCACAGCACAGATGTTCATTATCTTCATGGTCAATCCAGCTTCGGCAATTTTTAAATTTAACTTGCCATGGATGACCAAACATACTTTGTTTTTGACAACACCAATTGTTCTGTACCTACACTCCTGTTTTGCAAATTGCTGTTATCTGTATTTTCTTCAAGTGCACTAGGAGATACTTCAATACATGCTCATTTCTGACTGATCCATGAATAAAATGATCAATTCATTTACAATTACTCTACTCACATAACAGCTATCACACATTAATATCAGTGTCATGAAGAATTTAGCTTCACTCACACATTCTGAAGTAAAATTCTGGCAATTGCAAAACACTACCAATAATCTAAAAACAGCTAAGCACAAAAACACATTTGTACACAACAGTTTTGATGCACTAACTAATTATGTCTACAGACAATTTCATAAGGTATACATCATATCATGAGCCAGGATAGCTCAGCCAGTACAGTGACTAGGTATGGGCTGCATGACTGGGGTCTGATCCCCGATGGGGGCATCATTTCCTCTAGCCTCTGCGTCCAGACCGGCTCTGGGGCCCACCCAGCCTCATATCAAATGGGTACCAGGGTCCTTTCCCCAAGGATAAAGCACGGCCAGGGCACCACTCACCCCATCTAGTGCTTAGGTCAAGAATGAGTAGGAGCTATTCCCCCCCCCCAAGCAACCTACATAGTGTGTAGCAGGACTGCTTTACTTTTACTTTTACATCATACCACTCCATAAACACTTGTTTCTTTACTTATTAAAATACCCTTGCACAAACAAAATATATAATTTACATAGGGGATAAAGAAAGAAGCATTTACCAGAGTAAAACATCAAGCATCTGAACCCTTTCATTAATACTTTGAGCATTCACAATAAATTGTTAAGAATTTTGTATTTATGAGTTTGAGTAACAGGGATTATTTCCATGAACAGCATTAACCAGTTGATCTTTGTAATGAAGAACTCATTGTTTTCTTTGAGGTACAGATCAAATTATTTGGCTTCAAACGGTTAAGAGAGACAAAAGAAAATCAATTATCAGCACGTGAAGGGCCCTCTTTCATTCCTTCTTATGCAATATGCACACTGTTATCTTAACCAGGTTTTGATATGTATAACTAACAAAATACATTATGATTTTAATATATTTCTAGATGTCACATTTCTGGAGTTCAAGAAACCAAACAATTTTGAATATAAGTCTGGACAGTGGGTGCGTGTGGCCTGCCCTGCTCTTAACACAAGTGAATATCATCCATTTACACTATCCTCAGCACCTCATCAGAAGAATCTCACAGTGCACATTCGAGCTGTTGGACCCTGGACAACAAATATTCGAAGTCTCTATGATCCAAGTCTACTACGGGAAAAACCACTTCCTAAGGTAAGGATACAATACCTCGGTGTATCAGTACATGGAGGTAAACTTGATGTGGGTGTTCATGAGGGAACTGGGAATGAAGGAAAACTTGAAAATTAAATTTAATAATGAAGCTGACTGTCTTCTGGGATGAACATTTCAGAGGTGCTTGCTGACTAAATGGTGCAACATCCCAGAAGACAGTCAACTTCATACTCACTGCTGAAATCTCAAAGAATTTCGTTATGTACGCCTTTGTTGAATCCTGATGCCAGTAAGTTCAGTTTTCTTAGATCTCTATTGGTTCATTAATGACATTAACTTACCATGCAGTTTAGAATCTTCCATTCTTTGTTCTTTTTAAATACATGAAGACCGTAACTAGCAAGACTGAGAGTCATAACACAGTTGCTGAAATTTTTAATCCTGATGATTTCATATTTGTAGATCATCCTCACAAAACTTCATAAAATAACTCATTCAGAATCCTATGTATTGTATGTTTTGGAGAATTCATGATGATACACAATTTTAGCTATGTTCTTTAAAACAAATATCTCAGATATTAAATGTAATTGTGCAATTTCCTCTGCAGATTCATCTTGATGGTCCATATGGTGAAGGGCATCAAGACTGGTATCAATATGATGTAGCTGTATTGGTTGGTGGAGGAATTGGAGTCACTCCCTTTGCTTCAATTCTTAAGGATATTGTATTCAAAGCTAACATTAAACATCAAGCGGCCTGCAAAAGGGTATGTCACTTGCTTCACCACAATACAAAGTGGTAAATGAGCATGAAATTGTTGTGGGAAAAGCACAAACAACTAAACTAAGAAATGAATGTCAAACTTGAAATGAAATAGCCCAGTATGCTAAAGTAGTGTTTACAACTTAAAAAGTAAGCAACTTCAATGCTAGGATGTCTGAAAGAAAGTAGACAACACCCTTCCCTAAAGGATACATTATTTAAGAGCAAAATAAATATTGTATAGCTATACTTCATATAATGATGCTTTGCACAATGTTCTTTTGTTTTTATGTTGATAAAGTAATACCATGTTTTGCACAACATTTCCAGTGCCAAAAATTTATGCTCTTGAACAAACAGAACATTAAAATTTTGAAAGTTTTAGAAATTTTTGTTTTCCAAAACTTTACCATACAAGTCGCATATGGAGGCATCGATATAGTCATTATAGGAGTCAGTTATGGTGGTAACAACATGGCTATGCTATGCATGACTCATTTCATGGCTATATAGACGCCTGCATATATCACTGGTGTGAGAATTACATAGGCTAGATATGCGTCTCAAATCCTGCCTACCATATTGAAAACATAAATGGCTCTGTGTAATTGCTAATTAGAGGTCTCCATACCCCATTACTATATGCGCATGAAGGGCTAATTTTATAATTTTGTCTGGCATACAGGCAGTGCCATATAAGCATTTATTATGACTCAACTTTGTTTTCTTTTATTTTGTAGGTCTATTTTCTATGGGTAACAAAGACTCAGAAGCACTTTGAGTGGCTGGTGGACATAATCCGAGAAATGGAGAATACAGACAAAGGAAAAGTTGTTTCCGTTCATATATTCATCACTCAATTCTATCAGAAGTTCGACCTCAGGACCATTCTTTTGGTAACTAACCACTATTTGTTACTCAGGAGAAAAGTTTTGACCCTGCCAGTATAAGTCTGATGGCAGTAAATCTGTGGCTAGAAACTGACATATTCCAATTGAGAAAACATTGTGTCATACTCTGGTAAAGTTTTGTGTGCAAGTTAATCTTCCCAAGACCCATATGAATCCTCCCATCTCCTCCTCAGTCTTACAAGTGGATGCTTCTCCATCTATTGATAACTAACAAAATTATAAAAATCACTTACTTATTCTTATCCTTCCATGGATTAGGTTTAATGTTTGACTCTGACATTACAAATTTACTACAGCTCCTATCAAAAATGATTTCATTATTCATAATTATTTCATGATTAAGAATTTATTATTTACTTCACTTACCTTTTTCAAACTGATACATGAAGGTCAATGCTGCACTCATATTTTCCATTATTTACCAGCATGATGATGCACGGTGATAAGGTTTGTAAATACTAAATATACTGCTTCATGCATTAAATATTTCTGAGTGCCTAGGAATTAAACAGCAGTAGACACAGACTGCTTTTGCATCAGACCGTATATGGTCTCCTTGCAATCATCAGGCAGACAGGACAGAAGAAAAAGGATCCAGAAGGAGTTTATATAATATACAGTGCATACTAAGTGAAAAACAGATTTCCTACTGCTTCAGAATCTAAATGTGTATAAAACTCTTAAGAGACTTCAATGTTAACTGGTAAACTTTAATTCTGAAATATGGTACGCATAATATTTATTATCTCTTGCAGTACATTTGTGAGCGCCATTTTCAGCGAGTGTGTGATCGATCTCTTTTAACTGGGTTGAAAGCAGTCACTCATTTTGGAAGACCTAACTTCACACAGTTTTTCAAGTCAGTTCAGATACTGCATCCAAAGGTAAATAGATCTACAACATAACTAGACTTATACACTGTTCATGAAATATTGTTATATACAGTAAACATGCTAATACCCTCGTTAGGAACTGAACTGATGTTTCTGAAATTTAAAACAAATGACTTGTCAACAAGATACCAAAAACATCTCACAGAGAAATATCCTTTGAATCACACTGGTAAGGAACTAGCTTGTGAAGCAGATTACCCAAGTCAACTTATTTATCAATACAGAAATTTGACAGTTTCCTAAATGATCCTAATATTCAACATAATGCAGCCCTACCACAGAACAAAGTTAGCTATAAGGACAGTGTCTGCAAGTAACAAATGGTTTCCATTCTCTCTGAGTATATGTGAGAAATACCACCATGGGACTAGAATACATCCTAGGATACAATGCTCACACAGAAAGTGGCAAGTTCAATTCATAGTCGATTCATTTTTACTTAAACTAAAATAATATATCACAACAGAACATGTTGCTAACAAGTAAAAATTTGAGTGATTGAACCAGAAAATTAAAATGTCAACACAAACACAGTAAAACCATTAAATATACACAGCAAACTTTATAACAGAAAGAATAATTATTTCTTAACTTTCAGCAAAGTGTTCCACCAAACAGCAGGAAGAAACAATTTTTTTCGGTCATCTATATTATTTTGTTGACTGGTATGAACATCATTATAGCATACTAACTTTCACAATTACAAACTAACCTCTGTGTTAATTTGTTCCCTGAATATGTCCAATATTTTGATTAGTTTTCAAAGTCTGGTGAGTTTCACAGTTTCAATATTGTTGCACCTCATTATAAAACAAAACTCACTCATGTTTTCAGTGTTGGTCTTCTGGGTTGTAATGCCATATGGACTTGGCATCTATCTGCAGGCCTACACCACAACATTTTCACTGCTGTCTGAACCTAAAATCTCACTGTTTTGACTCTCAATACATACACATATCCCCAAATCCCTTTACTGAATGTTCTAGTTATACTTTATTCTCAAGAAGGAAAAGCATGAAGGGCAAACATAATAAAATTTTCATTTAATTATTTCACAAGATGTAGCAACAATGAAGCTGCCAAAACCACCAGAATATTATATCTTAATCCACTGGTAAACCATCTGATTTTGTCTAGTCCAAAATACCTGCACAAAATTTGATGAAGTTTTCAAATAGGCTTAACTGACTCAGAATTACCACAACATTATCATATAAGGGCACTAAATTTGTTGTACAATAAGTAACTACTTAAAATATTATTCAGTTATGTTTCATGGGTTACAAAGCAACCAACGTCAGCAGACATTTTTAAGTATTCAAAGATCTTTGAAACTGATTTTTACAACGTCCATTAGCCATTAAGAGTAGAAGTTTCTGAAAATATACAATGAATTGGAAGGGCATATCAATATATCATAATAATCGTATATGGATAGGCATATATCTTTAATACAAATATATGTGAGAGTTATATCATTCACAGGTACGCAAAGTAGGAGTCTTTAGTTGTGGACCACGTCCCATGACCCAAATAGTGGACAAAGCCTGTTTGGGACTGAACAAAATAACAATTGATGGACCAACTTTTCAGCATCACTTCAAGAACTTCTAATAACATCATACAACAGTAGTAAGGAATCTTCAAGAAGTGGCCTACACCAAACACTTTCTTCCAAAATATGTTTATAAGAACAGTTCTGGTTTGTTTGCAACTGTTCCTTGCTTCTATAATGTCAATTTGAAGTTGTTCTCTGTTTACCATTCTATAATCTAATCTGCAGCATGGATTCACATTCAAATTCCACTCTATATTTAATACAAAGTGTCAGTAAAAAGGAACTGTTCTATCAGAACTGCTAGATGAACATAAATATGCTAATTGTGGTCTTATGGCCTGTGACACCAGTAAGTCTTGTAGGTGATTATCCTACAAAAGCACATGATCTCATAATCCAGTCAGAGAAAAATCTCACACGCACTGACCGGATAAAAGAAAGAAAAAATTCCAAGACTGTGTATTCTATACATTCTGCTAGCACAGAGAGAACTAAAACACCTAAGTTAAAAAATAATTCTAAGTAAGATACTGCAAAACAGGAAAAGTAAGAGTAAAGATCAGTTACTCCTGTGACTAAGAATGATGATGATGAGGTAAATTTTCACATATTCTTAATCATGACACATCACTGAATGGAAGAGATGTAAAATGGGTGCAATTGAAAAAGTATAAATGTTTGTAAGTCAATTTACTTGCAATTTTGTAGGTTTTCTCAGTTTAACATTCAAATATAGACAACTTATAGTGATTTTATAATGTGCAATTTAATCTGGGAAAGTTTTTCTGATCCAGCTTCTAAGTCATCCTTTGAATGGCCTTCCTACATCTTTACATTATGAACAGTTGCAGAGGTTAG